AGCCGCGGGTCTCTGCCCTCAGCCCCAGAGAAGCAGCAGCAGTAGCCCCTCCGCCTTCATTATAAATATAGACTTGTTTATCAGTGTCAGGCGAGGCAGATTAATTAGATACATCTATTCACAATTCGGTGTCTGGCATCCCGTTTTAGGAATGCCTGATCAGCTCAAGGTGTTAATTGGGGCCAGCCAGGCACTTATGTGTCTATTAAACAGCGTGAGGACTTTTCACAAGTACTAAGCTCCTTTCCGTGCAAAAAAAAAAAAAAAGGGGGGGGTGGGGGGGAGAGGCTGTCCAGAGCCGGCAGCGGGATCGTGCTCCCTAACACGGGGTAAAGAGCTTTGCAAGGAGAGAAGCAGCTCCGCCGCAATGCCTGGCCGCCGGGGGAGGGGGGGGGAGATCTCCGGCCGGTTTGCGTAGGGCAAGTAGCGAAGAGGAAAAAAAATCCGCATTGGCTCCATCTCTCAACAAAAATCTAGTTTGTTTTCTTTTTTCCCTCCCTCTAAATCCCACCACCCCAAACCCAGAGCAAGGCACGGACCGGGGGTTCTCACTAGATCCACGCCGACTCAGTGTCCAGAAAAGCACTGTAACTGCCAAAGGGTCAACCAAAAAATAAATAAACAAACTAGCTGCCACGGTGGAAGGACAGCGGCGGGGTGAGGCTTTAGGAGGCGTTGCCACCTCCGGGCACAACGAGAACTCCTCTTTGAAGCCACTCGGCCCCGTGGTTTTATTTTCCACCGGGAAAGTAAGGCCAAGTCGGGCCCTGGGTGGCAGCTGCTCTCCCCCTTCGAGGACGCCGATGGGGTAGGTGGGATTTTAGGGGGACGGGTTGGTTTTTTGTTGGGCTTTTTTGCACGTGCAGGGGCAGGGGCCGCGGTGAAGGATGCAAATGCCCAGTCTGATTGCGTTAGGGCGGTGGGGGAGGCTCCCCGTGCTACGGGGTTTGGCTCATTGTGTTTGCAGCGGGGGCTTAGTTAATCCTATTATCGCCTGCATTTCCTCAGGGAAGCTGAGGATGCAATGGGGGCGGTGGGGAAATGAAGCAGTGGGAAGGGGGAATTGCCTCAAAGCCGGGGGGGGGCGGCAAAAACCCCGGGTTGAGAAAAGCGCTGCTGTGAGTTGGGACGGTACAGAGAGAGAGGCGAGCGGGGGGAGCTCCCGTCGCATCTCTGCAGAGCGGCTCTTTATTGAGAAGCTCGCAGGAGGTGATAAGTGAAATTCACACGTCTTCCCGCACCCGGACCGGGGCCGAGCTGACACCTCGCCACCCCCTCAGCCGCACCTGCGTCTGCGTCTGGGAGCTGGCATTTGAGGCGCATGGAGGGGGTCTGGGGAGGGGGACATTTGAAGCGCAGCACTGCCGGCTGCGGGGGGTGGGAGCACGCTGGTACTACCGCCTCGCAGCGAGGCGGGAAGACCGCAGCCGGGGGGCTCAGCCCAGCCCTGCACCGCCCCGACAGCTTGCACGCAGCCGGGGCTAGGGCCTGAGAACGGGCGGGGAATCGAGGAGCTGGGCATCCAGTTCATTCATTCAATCTAGCGACCCTAGACCCAAGCTGAGCGATCAAAAGCATGGAGTTTCCCCTCCACTAGAAGAGGCAAATTCCCCGCTGTCTCCTACGACCGTCAAAAATAAACAAACAAAATAATAATAATAAAAAAGAAAAGTTCACCACCCATCAAATGAGCCCCTCTGCGCCTTGGGCAAGTGCATTCTCTTACCGTTAAGGGTGTCCTTATGTCACTAGCCCGTCTGTTTCCTAGAAGAATTCCTGTTGTGCTTGCAAAGCTGGGTCCATCCATAAAGGGCTGGTAGAGAGAAGGGGAAAAAAAGAAAAAAGACCCACCAACAAAGAGCAAGAACTACACACACACAGAAGAGCCAGCCCCATTGTTGCCCCACTATACATACCACTTTATTAAAAATGACTACTATGTACATAAAAAAAAAAAAAAAAAAAAAAAGAGAGAGAACCCAAAGAGACCTGAATTTTAAAAGTCTGTGCACATCAGCTCTTTAGGTTCAACAGTTTTCCTTAAAGTGTTGGGACTTTTTTTTTTTTTTTTTTTTTGCAAATAGGAGGGAGTAGAGAAGTTGCACTTTCGAAGTAATACGGGGCAGCTGAAAAAGTCACTTTACTTGCACGTAAATGGATACCCTGCTGATGAACCTCTCCATGACCCATTTTAATGCTCCAGTTGTTTAAGTTTGAATAACTAGGGGGAAAGGGAGAAGGGAATTGCTTTTAAAAAAAAAAAAAAAACACCACAAAAAAACCCAACACTCCAAAAAACTCCGAAAGCACCAACTTCTGCTGATCCCAACCAGACTTCTATATGTAGACTATTCATACAATATTCCACAGTATTCTACAGTGTACTTAGACAAAAAGAAAAAAAAATACAGCTGTACAATTTTTTGGCCACCTCTATGAAGATCCTCATAGCTTCCACATCCAGAATTTTTAGAGTTTTTTCATCCTATCCTAGACAAGGAAAAAGGCAGATTTGGTCATCAGAACCAGGGCCTGGGTAACAGGGCATTCACATCAACCCCTTCCCAAAAGGGTTTTATTCCTCCCTTGGCTCAGCTGCTTTCTGCCCAAGCAACTCCAAATGTTAGATGTTTCTGACCAAGTGTGCAGGTACCATTGGAATAGTGCCTGCTCTGCTCCAAGCAGAGAAGTAGCAACCGTGCAGCAACTCGGAGCCCCTTCTTGCTCAAGGGACCTAGAAAAAGAGTTTAGGATCCACACCCACATCTCCCGTTTGGTAGTGCACAGCACTTACCCATTGGCTGCCGGGCCAGCCAAACTATACACTTTAGTGTCTCCAATAAATAAGCCACATTGTAAAAAGCCAGGATCCTTACCATAGCCCCTTCCACTTCATCCTAAAATTGTTAGTCAAATGATATTATCCTTCCCACCCTGCAGCAGTCAAAAAGCTTTGGCACCTTCTATAGAATTGCACAAAACAATTCAAGGTGGAAGGCAAGAGTCTTTTTGGCAATTTTAATGCAAAAAAAACAAAACCAAAAAAAAAAAAAAAAAAAAAACAAAAAAAAAAAAAAATAATGGTGAAAATCTAATTTTTTTTTTAAAAAAAAAAAAAAAAAGGGGGGGGGAAAGTAATTTTTTTTTTAAAAAAAAAAAAAAAAAGGGGGGGGGAAAGTAATTTTTTTTTTAAAAAAAAAAAAAAAAAAAAACCAAGGCCACCCTGAAAAATTTAGCTGAACAGGATAAAAACAGTTTAAGAACTAGCATAGAAAGCATAGTAGCCCATGCCTTTTGAAGTGTCTTTGCCATAGTCCTCAGCATTAATGTCCTCACATTTCATTGTAGGAGAGTTTTCATTGCTAGAAGTGCTAGGGGAGAGTCGTCTTCTCTTACAAGCACCCGTGTAGACCCCTGAATCATTTGAATCTAGAGACTTTATGGAAGGTGGGGTCTCTATCCAGGATGAGCCAATTTCTTCTTTAACTTTCTCTTTAGAAAGCTGGTCTTCAGAGAAGCCTGAAGGACTTGTTCGTGAAGTCCACGTTACTTTTCTCTGATAGGAGGCTCTGCTTCCCCACCCCGCCATAGATGAAAACGTTGGATCAGGATAGTATCCCAGTGCATGGGATGTCTGAAGCGGAAGCGATTTAATGCCATAGGGGAGCAAGGTGCTTGGTGAATACTCTCCTTCGTAAGAGTTCATGTCCAGTTTGTTGGCACCAGACTGCTGCACAGGAGTAACAAACCACCTCTGGGGGGGATTGGACACTTCTTCATTTTGCTGGGGCGAGAGCAAGCCATTTGTCTGAGGTACTGTTCTCTCACCATTGTAAAATCTGGCTGGTGGTAGGTTGTTGACAAACTGTTCCTGGAAGAATGGCTGCACACTGTACCGGGCTCCTGGGACAATCTGGTGGGATCTAGGAGAATCCGTGGGAGATGGAGTTAACCTGTCATTTTCTGAAGCTGTGTACATGCTACAATGCAAAAAAGAAACACTAAGTGCTGTTCTTTATAATTCCATGTACTGGCATTAAAAAAGCAAGACAGACTGAACTATGTGCTATGGCTAAAATTCTGGCATTTGGACCACTTGATCTGTTCTGCTGAGTTAGCCTCATGGGAGGCTAGCTTCCGAGTTCCACCTTCATCCCCAACTTAGTTATTTACAGGCCTAAAATACTCAAGTGCCGCTCCTATTAGCATGCAGCATTTCAATGCTAGAAGAGCCCACTGCAGATGGAACACAACAGTTTACAAAAGAAAGAAATTATACACCATCGTATAAAGCAGGAACTTTGTATAGACAAAAATGCAACAAATTTGTGACGGATCACAGATCTGCTACTGCCTTGTAACCAAGAGCATTGGCTTACCTAAATTTTAGGCAAGCCTCACTTGGACACAGTCAAGTGAGGGCATATAAAAATAATGCCAACATCTTTCTGTAGGGACATGGGGGAGGGGATGGATTTTAAAAAGTTAAGACATATACGTGCCTCTTAATGAACACAACCTGGATAAACAACAGCAGAATTATACTTACGAATCATAGTTGTCCCTGAAGCCTTTTGCAAAAGGGTTATGGTCAATTTTAAGCTGGGTGATCTAAGGGGAAAAAAAGAAAAAGCAAAAGACAGTGATTATGCGGGGGGAGCGTCAAGCACATTAGGCTATAGATTTAGTCTCCCTCCACACCCTCACTTACATCAGTATTCTGATACGCAGTAACTGCTATGAACTGTGTTTCTGGGAAAATAAATGTCTGAGTTTTTGAAGAGTCATTGACATCTTCGACTCCATCTTCAGTCACTTCTACAATATGAAGTCTCGGCTGGTATTTGTGTAGAGACTGCAGCACTATCATCTAAAAAACAGCAATGCCAAAAGCGGATATTCCATCAACTACATAAAACTGCAGCTAAAATCTTACATATTAGGGATAGAAGAAACTCATTTTAAGACCAACGGCTCAACTGTGCATGAGAGAAAGCACCCACTGGAAAACAAGTAAAGCGTTCTCTGGTTTTGCTCGAGTGCAAAAAAGAGCATTTCTCCTATTGCAAAGAACTCAGAAAGACAGCAGGTCAGGATGTTTTTGACACCATGGATTCTTATTTGAAATTTCATGGGTTTAATTTTGTGAATCAAGCGTGGGTGTTTGCACACCTAACAGGGCTAATATATTATGGCACTCTATAGCACTTAAAAAGGATTTCATGAACCATAGGGTGTGTAGCACCCAAGCCCAGAAGCACTGGTTTAACTTTACCATGAATACAAGCTTAACCTCTTTGCAGAGGCAAGTTGTACCTTCATCTTTAAGCTTTAGAAGGAGATGAAAGATCCACTGTCAAAACCCCACCAAGGGAAAGAAAACCTACGAGACTAAACAGAAAGTGGAAGTTTCACCCAATGTCTACTTATTAGTGCTCCAGATTGAGAATTCAATACAGCAACATAATTATTTGATACAGGGGTGAAGTCAAAGAACAGCACATCCTGCCTAGCTAAGGTCTTTACCCTGCTGCTTGGGAAGCCCCAAGGACCCCTTGCCACAGCAGTTTGTCATTTATGCACCTGACACAAGCCCCTCATTTACCTGAGCATTGTTGTTGTTAGCACCTTTATTATTAGTCAGCTTCAGTTTCCCGAAGGAGATCTCCTGCCTCATCCAGTGAGCTCCAGTGTTGGGGGATTCAGGGTGAACATATACCTTGTTACCTAGTGGGGGAGAAGGAAGAGGGAGGCAAGACACACCAAGTCAGAACAAGAGTGGCTGGCCCCCCTCAGGGTAGGGGACAGGGCAGCCAAGTGGCGAGGGTGTGGGCAGCAAGCCCCACACACCTTGCATGTTGTTGTCCGCCTTGCCGCACGTCACCCACTTGCCCCCCTGGAAGCGCCAGTGGTTGGGGTCGGCCAGCACCACCTCCACGAACACGTTGTAGTGGGCCGTGGAGTTCAGGCCCGTGATGTTGAAGCTCAGGAAAGGAAACATGCGCCTGCAAAAGAAGGGGAGGAGAGAGAGAGATTAGCGCGGATCGGGACCCCCGGAGCCCCGCTCCCAGGCAGGGGTTTCGCTGGGGGCAGCTCAGGAGCCGGGCGCAGGGAGCGAGAACGGAGGCGGGTACACGGCTAGCAGAGAGCAACCGCGGCGCCGGCTCCGTCCTGGACGTGAGGCGCGGGGAAGGGGCTCCTACCTGCCCTGCTTGGTGATGATCATCTCGGTCTGGTGCCGGTGGAACTTGAGCCAAAGCGGCCGGTTGCAGAGGAAGACCTGGGCGCGGAGCCCCGCGGCAGCGCCGAGGGCGCCCAGCCCGCCGCAGGC